TACAAAAAAATAAAAATATGCTAATATAAAAATAAATAAATACGAGAGTCAATTCTTTATATTTACTAATATAAATTTATAAAAAAAATAGTAATTATTAATTTCATATTCGTATTTAATTATAATACAGTGTTATTTAATTATAATTCAACCAAGTATTATATTGTTATTAGATGATTATATAATATCAATAAAATTTTTAATATATAGTTATTATACATTAATTAATACATAAAATAAGTAGTTATTAAGTTTTTATATTTTATTAATGTCTATATGAATCAAAGTTTTTCTTGAATTTTTAAAAATGATTTAAAAAAAATCAAAATTTTGATTCGAATTTGGTCAAAATATCTTTTGATTTTTTTTTTTTTTTGAGTTTTAGCGCAAATAATTTTATAATGAAAGGTGGTTGAAATTGGTGCAAGTTAAAGAAAATTTATTGTAGATTTAGGGTAAAAAAATACAATCTCATTGAAATACTTTAAAAAATACAATTTACTTTGTATGTTATTTATGTAGAAAACTTCTTAAAAAAAATTATATATTCAAATAATTTTATACTTCGAGAACTAATTTTTAATAAAAACATTAAAAATAAATTATTGCATAACTTTAACCTAAAAAATTAAATCGATAATTGATCTTATGTTATAACCATATTGTGGAATCTAATAGGGTAGAGATAATTCAAATACAATTAATTATTCTTTATTTTCTAAAAAATATAGAATTATATAACGACAAAAAATAATTAAGCATTTGATTTATGAAGTTTGGTAAGCTAAGTTAGATTTTGTATTATTTGAAAGGAAGAGTTAGGTTTTGGGTAAGTGATGGAAGAAAATCCAAAAGCTTAGAAATGGAAATAGGAAAACACTTTTTCACAATCAGAAAAAAAAAAAAGAAAAAAAAAAGCACTTCCATTCCATGCCCCCACCACCTTACCAAACACCTTGCCCTCGTAACTCGAACTACACAACACATACATCAAACATAAACTATTCTTATTAAATAAGTAGTCAACTTATACGTACCAACATATTATATACAAATTAAAGATATATGATTTAATATAAAGTTTAATTTCTAAATAATTAAATGCCAAAAAATAAGAATTGCACGTTAACGGGGACCGAGATGACAAAAATGGACTCTTGTTCATCTAATGGCCACGTTCTTGTCTTCACCATCAACGTTATTTTTACGATACATGCTTAAATAATCATATACAAAATCATGAAAATTATAATTATAATTATAATTACGATTTATTCATGAAAAGGCGATAATTTTGTCCAAATTCAATTTAATTAAACACATTCAAATCGGATAATAGATTACAATTCAACTTTAATTTAATTAGACACATAAATAGATTATAATTATGAGCTCTAAATCATCCACTGATTTGGCTAGCTTATTTCTTAAATTGCAGTTTAAGGATCATATGGAGTGACTTGTAAGTCAATTTACAAAATTGACCAGGCCGAGACCACCGATCGTCCAGTGGTCTCACAAGCACCGGATTATGATCTCCAATCCACATAAGAAATTTGGGAGCTTGGAGACGCGTAGTGAACATGATCCAATACAGCGAGCGCATCATAAGCGGCAAGAAGCGCGCAACAGCATAAAGATACCTGCACCGTTTCCCGTTTTCATTATTTCCTATAATTATTCTCAGGTAATTGGAAACACAGAGAGGAAAAAAAGAAGAGGAAAACGAATCGTCTTCTTATTTAATACTCTCTCACTCTCACAGCCATCTCTACACGTCTCTCTCTCTCTCTCTCTCTCACCACTGTATATTCATTCAATATCCCAAACCCCAACCATCTTTCTCTCTCCCTGGTGATGATGATGAAATGTGAACATAGATATCGAAGCAACGGACGCGAGTATGTGAGATATTAGGGCTTCTGCTGCGAGATTTTTTGTATTCAATTCAGGAATTAAAGAGGGAGAATGCCGTTGACGAGATACCAGATAAGGAATGAGTACAGCCTGGCGGATCCGGAGCTGTACAGAGCTGCGGATAAAGATGATCCAGAGGCTCTGCTCGAGGGAGTTGCCATGTCTGGTCTCGTCGGCGTCTTGCGCCAGCTCGGGGACCTTGCCGAGTGAGTCTCTATCTTCGTTGAGCTTTATATGATGTGATTGGCTTTGTGTTGAGGTTGAATTGTGCTTTTGAGCCAAATGTTTCGGTCGTTATAGCTTCAGTTTGATTTTGTAAAACGGGAGATAGAATTTCAGGTCGCTGATTTTGCATTCGTAGACTTCAGTTCGGGTTCGGAATTTGAGTTTCGAATTCGTGCTTTGGGAAGATTGGATGGTGTTTCACGAAAATCTCTTTCTGTCAAGAGCTTTTGAAAATGATCAACTAAAGTGGCTTTAATTTGGATTGTGGCTTATGATTTCTTTTTTTTTTTTTGGTTTCTGGTTATCGAATCATTTGTTCAACTGAATAATTAAGTCCATGGGAATAGGAGTGAGGGATTTACATTCAGCTTCCTCGTTCTTAATATGATTGTTTCTTCAATATCTCGAAGGTTTTGGGTTGTCTAGACTCCAAAAGCTTTGCGGACGGGACTCAACTGAGGATGTCTAGGTTTAGCTAAATTTTTATGGAGTGGCTTCTTAATTTATGGGTAAACTTTACAGTTGCATTTGATTGGAGTAGGAGCTTCAATCGCCCAGTTAATATGTAGACGCCGAAGTGTTTTTTTAAAATACAAGATTTGATGAAATTTCAAAAAATATTGAAGAGAAAAATAGATGGAAGCATGTAAAATAATACCAAAGGAAAAGAAACACGTGAAATGAAAATGTTAACGAATCAATGCAGTGATTAAATTTCTGTATTTGCTGGAAGTATCTGCCATGTGCTTAAATAGTTCTTCTATTTCCGCAAAGTTGTGACCTATCGTAGCATCTGACAGAGCTAGGAACTCCAAGCAGATCAGTTGCTTGGATTCCTTTTCATGAATGTTGATCCCTTGCTCATTCAAATGATATCTTTCATAATTACAGTTGCTTTTATGAAGGTTGTTCTCTTCTATTTTGGTGATATTTTTTTTTCCTTGTGGAGCTAGTGCGAAAATTTTATTTAATCACTTTTTGTCATATGAAAAAAGGGAAAAAAATAAAACTAATCTAATTGCCTTTTCATCTGCTAATAGGTTTGCTGCCGAGATATTCCATGACTTGCATGAAGAAGTAATGGCAACTGCTGCAAGAGGTCACGGTCTAATGGTCCGAGTCCAACAGCTTGAAGCAGAGTTTCCCTCTATTGAAAAAGCATTTCTGTCTCAGACAAATCATTCAATATTCTTTTCTAATGCAGGTTAGTATACTTGCTCAGAGATATGTTTATATGAAATATCGACTATATTATATAAACTTTTTAACTTAAGTGGCAAATTTTAAATATACGGTTCTTTGATGCTTTAATATTTTCTCAGTGGTGGAGATTATTTCTCATGGCAACATAATACAACAAAAGTATATTTTTATTGCACAAAAAAAAATCCTCATTGCAACATGACAATGAAAATCAGATACTCATATATAGTAATATGATTGTCTAGATGCGTGGACCTTTTGTGGATTGGTAGAAAATTGGTACAAAATTTCAACTGTATGCATATCAGTTTTTTATAGGTTTAGTAGCTGTAAGGTTACAAGATCCAGTTAATAAATGTCTGCGGATCATTTGCTATGGAAAAGACTCTTCTAGTTGAAATCTTTTGAGCCTTCTGGAGGAAAAGAAAATATTCTATTTGTTTAAAAAGTGTTTTTGTGAGAAAATTTCAGGTGCTTCATAAGAAATTGGCATATGGGCAATAATCTTGGATTAATTAATTTAGTCGCTGTTAGTTGAATATTTGTGCGAAAAATTTTCGTAGCGGTTTCTGGTATGTACATCTTTTATCTTATCCTTGCATAAGGAGGTGCAGTGGATGTTGTTTCAAAGGACTCTAGCTGAAAGACATTGCCTGATACCTTTGTTTCTGTATCCATTTTAGACCTTAAAATTTTACTGTTTTGCTTATTCTGAATTACTGTCTTGCATAATTGCTGAAGTCAAATGACATTTTTAATGTGTATTTATCTTTCACAGGTATGGACTGGCACCCAAATCTGCAAATGGAACAGAATGTAATTGCTTCTGGGGATTTACCTCGTTGTGTGATGGATTCTTATGAGGAATGTCGGGGTCCACCAAGATTATTCTTTCTGGACAAGTATGATTCTGTTGCTTATATTGCTAAAGCTATCTTTTTATACCGGGATTTGTTATTTTTATGATCTTAATACCCTTAACTGACTTAAATCAGATTTGATGTTGCGGGAGCTGGGGCATGTTTGAAGCGTTACACCGATCCGTCATTCTTTAAAATTGAGTTGGCATCCTCTAGGATTACAACAGTAGAAGTCCAAAGAGAGAAGAAATCAAGGAAAGTGAAGGTACTGCTGCCAAAACTAGTATTTCTCATAACAAACACATCTCTTTGGGGTTATTAAAATAAACCTGCATGCATTTATTTATTCCTAAAATATTGTTAATGTCCAAAAGTTTGGCATGGTAAGGATTTTTTTAGAATATAAATATCACCTGGATATAGTTTTACTCGTTTTCAATGCACAGACAGAATTTAATAATGATTGCCAGGTGCTACTTCTTATTGTTTAATTATTTGATTTGTCATGCTTCTGAAAATTAGCATTTTAGCTTATAAGTTTGCAACTTTCCACTTAATTGTCCATACCTTTGCCTGGAAACATTTCAATACGTATTACTTATATATTTTATTTACGGCAGAAGAAAGGATCTCGCTGGAGGAATGGAGAGACACCTGAAAATGCATCGGGACCACATGCCAAGTGAGAACTCTAATCGTATTTATGTATTAGTTCTTTTCTGTGCATGTACATGCTTGATGTTTGAATGGTGACTCAAAACGCTTTCAAATACTGCAGATTGCACCAGTTGTTTCTGGAGGAGCGTATTGAGAACGGTTATAGTGATCCTGCTCGTCTTGTGAAATTGAAGAGAAGGCTGTTAAGTGGATCTCCACTTAACTCCAGGTCCGGGAAAAGTTATATGGAGAAGTTTGTGCAGACTCCTTCACCGGAACATAAAACAATTAATGAAATTTCTGTTACTTCTCAACCTTTGACATCGATATCAGATAATTCTAGTGAATCAGGAATTGAAATACATGAAATCAGTTCAGTGGGTGCTGTGGAAATGTCATCTCATGGAATGGAAAACACAGTCTCTCTACCTCATAAACAGGAATTGCTACAGAAGCCTTCCATAGATATTATGGCCAGACAAAGTGTGAAGATGCATGAACCAACTGTTGATGTTGGGACACAGAAAGTATCTTCCGAGAGCAATAAGATGGTGGACAAGGAATTAAAAATTGATGCAAAAGAGGAGGGCAGTTTGGACGGGGACCATTCTGAAGATTTGGCCAGCGAGGTTGACAATTATATGGATGCTCTCACTACAATGGAATCAGAAGGGGAAACAGACACTGAGTACAAGATTAAGAATGAAGTAGGATTCCAAAATACAAGTCAACATGGGACTGATTCTGATGCAAATGAGGAACATACGGAGGTCCCAGCTCAATTTTCGGATTCTCAGTCGCTAGGAAACAGCTCAGAATCTGACGATGGAAATGGCTCATGCAAAAAAGGAAGCTCTAGTTTTTCTTACTCTGATACTGTAAGGTCTTCTGCTGAGATTGTGCAATCTGATGGTGAAGAAACAGCTAAACCGTTTCCTTCTACTGAAACTCATGTATCTGAGATAGTGGACACATTATCCAAGCAGTTGTCCATGAATAAAGAGTTAATGGAGTCCAGTTCCCATGAGCCTGTATCAACCAGTGGAAGTAGCGCTACAAAAGACAGCACACCCAATGCTGAAGAAGAATGCTTTAATTCATATAGTACGAATTCAAATCAAATACATCTTCCACTATACCCTGGAGAAAGTGTGCAGTCAGCTTCACTGGTTGAATCTGAACTAGGTGAAATTCTTCCTGAATGTGTGAATCTTGCTTCTGAAAAGTTAAGCACTGAAAGTGGGACAAATCAAGCAAATTCTTCAGAGCTAATCTCTGATGTTTACAGCCAGACAAGGGATGACGCAGTTTCTTCAGTTCCTGTTGAAAACCATTCAAACATTGAATCTGATTGTCTAGATTCAAAAGCCTCTTCGGGTGCTTCGGCAAATCCAGATTTGGCTTCTGGAGAGAAACAATATGGTTCTTCTGCAGATGACCATGCAGGTGGTAGTTGTTCTGAAAAGTTGGTAAGTGTTGAGGTTGGTTCTGTGGAAGCAATTATATCTCTTACGGAGAAGCAGTCTGCAAGCTCAGCCAGTGCAGAAGTAGATGTTTGTTCAGATGTTTCATTACGGGACGATGGCTCAGATGTTATGAAGTTTGATGACACAGTTCTTGCAGTTAGTTGTCCTATATCAGCAGCTGAAATCAAATCAGGGATAACTTCTAAGGGTGTTGAAGTTGATGAAACTGTTCCTGAAATGAAAAGAATTCCGGAAATTGATGATGCAAGTACACATGTTGAACTCAACTCAGAAAATATAACTCTTCTGAGTCATGAAGATGACACTTCTGCTCGAGCAACTGAAGAAATATCTAAAGTAGGTGGTGCAATTTCAGTGCCTGAGGTCAACCTAGAAAATTCAATTCCAAATAGAACTGAAGTTAATGATAGTATTGCAGCCCTCAACATCGGCTCAGAAAATGAGACTTCTATGGTGGATGCTTCTCAGACTTGTAGCTCAGAAAACCAGCAGCTCTCAGTTACATCGGATGGTGTTCCACAACTTGAACTTGATGTTGCAGAAGAGGAAGTTTCCTCTTCAGTACGGGGAACATATCATGAAGGGACATCTAGTGGTCCAGAAGATGAAGAAATAGATACTAGCCAAGCAAGCTTGGGTAATATAGCAACTGACAGTTCTCATGAAGTATATGCAGCTGTTTCTAATACTGGTGCATATGCTGGCGAGGATTTCAACGATGCTTGCCTATTTACGGCATTAGTTCAGTCTCCATCTGGAGATCACATGAATTTTCAGGAATGCTTCTCTGGTGCCGGAAATCTACATCAGGAAGAATCTGAATTTAATGAGGCAGTTTTTTCAGAATATCATCCCGAGCCAAAGGAGCAAAAGAAAGTGAATCAATTGGAAGTTGGTCCAAATGATTCAGACTCCATTTCCTTAAATTCAACATTTTATGACAATTCAGACCAGAAGACATTCAGTGATGTTCCAGATTCTTCTCTGGCCGAACCAACAAGAAACAGTTTGGCTGTTGGTGATATCAGCACAGCACTGGAATTTTCAAAAGCTTGTGATCTAGAATTAGAAAGAGAATCTGTCCATTGTAATTGTACTTCAGAAAATAGTGAAGATGCCATTTCTTCACCTTTGTGTTGCCTCCCAGAGACAGAAACTCCCTTGGAACAATCATTGGTGTCACAAGCTCATCAGGTGGACTGCCTGCAAGGACATAATTTCATGGCATCAAATTGCCTGGATCACAACGATCAGGAAAGATGTTTTCATGCTTCTCCTAAATCTTGTCCAGAAGAATTTCCTAGCCAAGCTTCATCAGAAGTTTTAACACAATCATCTGGATGGGAACTGGAAAGGAAGCAAGTGGTGAATTCTGTTTGTCCTAGTTTTATGTCACTTCCTGAGCCTAATCATGTTAGCATGGAGGAAATGCCACCATTGCCACCTCTTCCTCCAATGCAGTGGCGGGTTGGGAGGCTTCAAAATGTTCCCCTGGCATTGCACGGAGAATTGGCTGAAAATGGTCAGGCATTGTTCCCAAAAATATCACCTTATGCAGCTGATGACAAAGATCAGTCTAGTTTCACAGCATCACACGGAGAGATTGGACAGCCAGGGGATTCCTTTATTCCCCTCTCAGTTGTTGAAGGAGAACAGTCACGTGTTCCTGAACATAATGGGGCTTATTCAACACAGCCCCCACCATCCCAAATGCAGTTACCGACCACAGGTAGTGAACCAAACAGACAACATGACAGTCTCACCTTCGAGGGAACTCAATCTCCGAACTCATGTTTGACATTGCCAGCAGTATCTAATGAGAGGCCTGAGCAAGGGTTCCATTCTTTGGAGGAAAATATAGTTCAATCCACTCCACCCCCATTCTTAGAAATACCTGCTATTGAGCAGACGACTGCCAGGAACAATCTTAGATCTTTGCATGAAAAATCAGTCCTGCCTCTTAATGAAGTAGTGGCAGAAACAGGTCCAGCGGTTGAGGCATCTCCACATGGTTCTCAGAATTTTGGAAAAGTTGAGGATCCTTCTGATTCCTCTAAGACGTTACCAGCCAAGGTAGAAGAACAGCTTCAATTTGTTAAGCCTGGTTCAGGGGAAACAGCACCGGTGTCAGTAAATCCATTTAATTCGCAGGTCTTACCTAGTTTAGAAGGGGAGGGGGTGTGGCCCTCCAATGCATTTGCCCTTGCACCGACCTTTGAGGTTGAAAAGGTGAATGCAAATCCAGCAGTTAAGCTTCCTCGACCTCGAAGTCCTCTCATAGATGCTGTTGTTGCTCATGACAGAAGCACGGTAATAATGATTTCACAATGTTCATTTTGTTCTCGTTATACTTTCTATGAAGTTAGGGCTTTGTTTAGTTTTAGAAACGTTTTCACTCTTTAGATTCTTGTATGTTTCTACACAAAAACTTGTAATATTTGAAAATGAAGCATGACTTGGAAAGATAATGAAAATTGCTATGAATTTGAAAATATTAAAATCATGTTTTCCAAATTATTCCATATTTTTACTGTCATTTTCCAAATCATGTCTTCATTTTTCATAGTATACACATCTTTGTGTACAACTATAAAAATTCAGAGTTGAAAACTTAAAAAGAGCTTTCTATAAGTAAAAGAGGGTGATGATATTTGAAGGGTTCTCATCTTTTTGACAATAAGAGTCTTCTGCAGTTGAGAAAGGTGTCTGAGCGAGTTCGTCGTCAGATTGCACCTAAGGTGGAGGAAAGAGATTCATTGCTGGAACAGATACGAACCAAGGTTAGAAGCATGATGTCTCTATTCTCATTTATTGTTTCTTAGACCTGCTCGAACTGACCCCTTTTCTTTACCTTTTTCTTTCTGTTTAGATGTTTTTTAATCTTTTAGCTGTTTTTTTTCCCTACAGTCCTTTAGTTTGAAGCCTGCGTTGGTGACAAGACCCAGCATTCAAGGTCCTAAAACAAACTTGAGGGTTGCTGCAATATTAGAGAAAGCAAATGCAATTCGTCAGGTTTCCACCTACATACCACACACTCTATCTCTCTCTCTTTCTCTCTTTATCTAGAGTAAATCCATCCACTCCACACACTCTATCTATTTGTCTCTTTCTCTCTCTCTCTAGAGTAAAAGATCTAACATTAAATTTTGGTATAGGCTACGGCTGGAAGCGATGAAGATGATGATACAGATAGTTGGAGTGATTCTTGAACATATAGGTGCCAGAACTATACTGCTATCTTTATTGCTTTAGAAGTGAATCTAGCTGGGGCCATAAAGTTCTCCTTGCAGAAAACGTCCTTCTATACCCTTCTATGTATTCATGTGTTATGGCTTTTTTTCCCCTAAGCATGTTCATATTTCTTTTTTCACGTTGAAAATATAGATCTATCAGTACGTGGATCTGCTCTATCCATGAAGACCCAGGGTGAGATCAAATGCTCTGTATCAAGAGGCTCAGCGTGTAACTGCTGTACCGGATTAGATTCGATGTATTATTACCCTGAAAATGTTGGCAGGTGTAAATTGTGAATTGGTGTAAGTTTTGGTTGTAGTATACTTGTGCAATTTTGTAGTCTTGTACGTAATTGGTAATGAAACATATATCTGTGCATTTATACCGTTTAGTTTCTGGTCTTGTATTTAAAAAAAGAAGAAATAACAATGTAGCTTCTGTTTCATGCCCCCATGATTACGCATTTTTCTTTAATTGTAGTACCGGATCAAATTTGGTTTATTTTACGTTGCTTCCAATTTAAATCAATTAGTTTTTTTTTTTTTTTGCTATTTGTCGAGTGTACGAGAATATGACGAAACCTGCAATCCTCTCCCTAAGCATGTGTACTCTCAGAGGGGAAATTTAAGAGACGTTTAATCGAATGTAATTAACTTTGTTCTAAATGTTATTTATGAAAGAGAAGGACATTTCTGGCGAAGAGAAGTAAAATCCAAAACACCAAAACAACTGATCTAATCAAACAGATAAAAACAAAAAACAAGCATAGCTGCAGGAAAGGAAACTTCACGAGCTTCAGAGAAAGCAGAAGAAATGAGAGAGAGAGCCCAAAGGAACAAGCGGACAATAAGCAGTGACCCATCATTCAATTAAGCAAGAGAAGCAGGACAAACTGATCTAAATTTTTTTTTCATTTTTTTTGGTTGGATAAGGCTTAAGCTGGCATACAACCAAAACGGTGATGTTGAGACAAAATAAACCACACATGAACAGGATAAATAAATTAAAAAAATATATATATATAAGGTCTTCATATTATTTAACAATATCCTTGTTTTTTTTTTTATTCAATAATTATTCTTGTTTTTAAGCTTAAAAAAGTAATCATGTAGTATAAATTAGTAATTAAAAAATATAGTAGTGGGATGGAAAACTTGAACGACCAAGGCGGTGCTCTGCAGCTAATCATGAACTGGACAAACTCACTTAATTTCAAACCCACCAAAGTTAAAACCGTAACCGTCCGCCTTAATTTCTTAAGCCATATTTTATGATATAATATAATTGAAAAAAAATAAAACAGTTAAAATTCAATTATTTTTCTTTACTACTTTAACTGTTTTTTTTTTTAATGACATATTCAGTAATATATTTATTTTTTTTTTAAATTTCATTTGAATATAGTAAGCACTTAATTTTATTAACAAATCTTACTTCAGTTTATTAAAAACCGTCTTATTTACCTTACTAATATGATATTTTAATATATAATTTTAAAATTAAAATTTATTATTATATTTTTAATTTTTTTATATAATTTAAATTAAAATTAAATTCGAAATAAAAAAATAATAAATATGCGTGTCATCCGTACCTCTAATAAATACTATATATAAATTATAACAATTTATATTTAAAAAATATACATAAGATAAGATAAGATTCGTTTAAATTTTTTAATTAGTATTTCAAAATCTAAATTATTTAATGTCTTCGCTCTGAATATTTTGTAAATACTCTGAATATTTATTACCATCATTAAATTATTTTTATATAATTCTTATTCTTATAAAATCGTATCTTAATTATTTTCATATAATTATAAAAAATTATTTTTCGTACGCATTATCGGTTGCGAATATAGTTAAAACGTACTAAACGCGCCCGTTAAACATCCATAAGATCACCACTGAATTGAACGACGCCGTTTTCTCTTCCGTGTCTACCACTCTTGTGTTTCCGTCGATACTTTTCCTGTAAATAGCCAAGTCTTCTGCTTGTATAGATTTTAGTAAACCCTTCTAAATTCTCCGTTGCTTCTTCAACCTTTTCATAGACGCGCACGTATCCGATCGCACCGCAAATTCAAATTTCGCAAATGATTCCTGGATAACATCAAAACGCGGTTTCCCCAAATACAAAACGGCAACATTTCTGCTCTCTCTCTTCTTTATATGGGAAAATCGCTTCCTGGCACCACTAAGATCAACCAATTCACTGCAGCAGCATCCAAACTCTTGAAACCCTCGAAACCCATTTCGCTGAATTCGTCAAGACTGCCTCAAGATAAGTCGTTTAATAGGAAGAAGATGGAGAGCAGTACTCGCAGAGACACCACCAGCAACACCAGCAATAGTAACGACACCGCCCATCAAGACCAACGCGTGCCGCTTTCTGAGGTCGTTTCGGATTGTGTCAAGCGCTGGTTCAAGGATACGCTCAAGGAAGCCAAAGCAGGTGATATCAATATGCAGGTCTTGGTTGGTCAGATGTATTATAGCGGTTATGGTGTTTCTAGAGACGCCCAGAAGGTTTGTTTTCATTTTTCAAGAAGATTCTTTGCGGTTCGCTTTTTAGTTTCTTTGGAGTGTTGATGTTGGGTTTAGGGTTTTGTGTGGATTGGGAAAGGGGTTTCCGTCGATTTCTTATTATTATTATTGTTTTACTTTTATTTCATGAGAAAGATTGGAAATAAGAATTAAAGTTTCCTGGTTTTTTTTTTTTTTTTTTTAAATTTGATGAGAAATAATGGGCTAAACTTGACAGGGCCCTCCGTTAGGGTTTCTTGAGAATCGTTTTTCTCTCTGTGGCCTCAGATTATGAAGAAGTGAAGTTAAATCTTTTATTTTCTTTGTCAATTTGATCTGTTTACACAATAAAATTTCAACGTGATTTCCGCTTGTTTATTATCTTTTCAAGTATTGTTTCTTTATTTCTGCCGCTTTTTCTAAATTACTATTCAACTTCATTTTATTTCAGGGAAGGATTTGGATGACCAGAGCATCAAGAACTCGGTCTTCGGTTTGGAAAGTGAGCGATAAGCATCCAGGTTGAGCTCTTTCCCGTCCTGATTCCTTATAGCGTCCTTAGCTGTTTAGGGGTCTAATCAGATTAGTCAACTGTTCCTTTCTTCTATTTTGGGTCTTCTTCAGGCTATAATGCAAGTGATTCTGATTCTGATGAAGTAAAGGGTGATTCTTGAGCTGGCCATGCTACCTTTACAACAAAATTTGATCCGTAAGTTGCTATAAGTTTCGCAGCTGGAATCCTTTTAGAAATTCTAATAATTTACTGGCCTCTTGGTTCTAGTTATATTTATGTGTTTACCTTATTAACATTATCTACCCAGGAGCCTCGCGCAGTGCGCACCTTTAATTGAAATGGAAAATACTTGAAAATATATAATTGACCGGATTGCTGGAAAGGAAAATTGAAGTAAGTTTCAAAATTAAAAGCGAGCTTGATATGGAATATGTTAGGTCTAGATTGCCTAAGTAGATTAGAAATTGTAATTCAATTAATATAAAATATTATGATATTATGGGTATATTATTATAATTGTAGTAATTCTAGGATTTTATTTTTTTTAGTATTTAGTTTTTCTATATGTTCATAGTATTTATTGCATAATTATTTCTTAGTTCAATTCTATTTAGGAAAAGCTATTGAGGAACCATTATAAATATCTTTGTAATTTCAATGTAGAGACAGTCTTCAATTATTCAATTAAATACTTTGAGAGATCTTCAATCTTCTTTAATGGAACTCTTATGTGACGCTTAAGAATTTTTAAATGTGATATCTGAAAAATATTCGGAGTGATGTCCAAGTTTTATATTTCTAATTCCTAAGTGAGTTACTTTTTTAAAAAAAGTAGAAGTGTGGTATTAATGAGCAACCAGGGGTTGCAACTCGAATGCAAAAGCTTTACAAGTCTATTAACATATCAACCAAGTCCCTTAAATCCTTAGTAGTAAAAAGAGGATAGTCTTTTACCAAAAATCATAGTGTTTGGAACCAAGAATCTGTAGTTCTATCAAAAGATCACTACATATCTTCTAAAGCGTGTCAGTTTCTTTCTTTCCATACAACCCATAAAGTGACCAACTGGATAGTGCCCAAAGTCTTGTTATATCTTTTATCCCCATGGATGCCTCTATAGGCCATGTCTCCTCCTCCATCGAACCTGCCATGACCAAATTCACTCTTATACGGGAACCCTACACTATACTATTTTTGGAAGTTTAAGTGGTGTGAATGGGCTAGGGCTTTGCAGCTTATGTTAAGTGAGGTAAGACTTTTCACCCAGAAAGACGGATTTGACCATGTTGTACTTCTTCAGAACATAACCAGTCATAGAACTGAACCGCCATCATAAAACCTTGGCTAGAAACCATCAATGTAGTCACTGATATACATTTACTTGCATATACTCCAAATGAAATCAATGCGCAAGTCTTCAGGACGTAAACTACAATGCATTCTGCTCCAAGCAAACAATCCATAATCCTGCAGAGATAGATTCTGTTCATATCATATGCTCCTTCACCCACTAAAACCACACAAAAAAAAGTGGAGACAAAAGTATCCAGAAGAATGAACTCAGGGAAATGCCAGTTTACAAGAATAATAACCTTTGCCCAAAAATTCCAAACCACCAGATAGTGC